TGAAAGAAATTAAAGACAAAGAAATAGCTACTCTGTGTTCATGGGTTAGAAGAATTAACATAGTTAAAGTTGCCATATTACCTAAAACAGACTTAATGCAATTCCAATCAATGGTATTTTTCAAAGAAATAGAACAAAAAATTCTCAACTTTGTATGGAGCCACAAAAGACACCAAATAGCCAAAGCAATCCTGAGAAAAATGAACAAAGTTGGAGGTATCATTCTCCTTGATCTCAAATTATACTACAAAGCTACAGTAATCAAAAGAGTATCGTTTTGGCAGAAAAAAAGACATACACACCAATGGAATAGAATTGAGAGCCCAGAAATAAACCGACAAATACATGGGCAACTAATTTTTGACAAAAGAGCCCAAACCGTACAGTAGAGAAAGGAAAGTTTCTTCAATCAATGGTATTGGGAAAATTGGAAAGTCACATGCCAGAAAATGAAACTAGACTGTTATCTGATGCCATATACAAAAATTAACTCAAAATGGATTAAAGACTTGAATATAAAATGTGAAACAATAAAATACGTAGAAGAAAACATAGGCACTAAACTTATGGATCTTGGTCTCAGAGGAGTTTTTGTGAACTTGACCCCAATGCAAGGGAAGTAAAAGCAAAAATAAATGAAGGGGTCTATATAAAGCCTAAAAGCTTCTGCATAGCAAAAGCAACCATCAACAAAACAAAAAGGCAATAAACCAGATAAGAGAAGATATCTGCAAACAATATCTCTGATAGGAGGCCAATATCCAAAATATATGAAGAACTTTACAACTTAACAAAAAAAAATCCAATTAAAAAATGGACACAGGACCTAAAAAGACATTTTCTCCAAGAAAATATATAGATGGCCAATAGATATATGAAAAGATGTTCAACATCACTAGCTATAAGGGAAATACAAGTCAAAACCATAATGAGATATCACTTCATATCTGTTAGAATGGCTACTATCAATAAGACAAGAAATAAGTGTTGGAGAGAATGTGGAGAAAAGAGAATCATAATACACTGCTGGTGGGAATGTAAATTGATGCAGCTGCTATGGAAAACAGTATGGAGGTTCCTCAAAAAATTAAGAATAGAGCCATCATAAGATCCAGCAATCCCTCTGCTGGGTATTTACTTCCAAAATTTGAAAACACTTATGCATAAAAATATATGTACCCCTATGTTCACTGCAGCATCATTTGCAATAGCCAAGACATGGAAACAACCTAAGTGTCTTTTGACAGATGACTGGATAAAGAAGACATGGTACATATATACAATGGAATACTACTCAGCCATAAAAAATGATGAAATATTGCCATTTGTGACTACATGGATAGATCTTGAGAGTATCATGCTAAATGAAATAAGTCAGATGGAAAAGGAAAACCACATGTGATCTCATTCATATGTGGGAGATAAAACAGAAAACAGCAAATGAATAAAAAAAAACCAAACTCAAGACACAACAGTATGGTGGTTGCCAGAGAGGAAGAGGGGTGGGGAGAGAGGATGAAGAAGGTAAAGGGGGTCAAATATATGGTGACGGAAGGAGTCTAATCAGAGAGTGGTGAGTACACAATGCAATATACAGATTTTGTAATATAGAACTGTACCCCTGAAACTTATATAATGTTATTAACCAGTTACCTCAATACATTTAATTAAATAAAAAAATTAAAAAACAAAAGTATGAAGGTTTAAAGCCAATTGAAAAAAAAAAAACAAACAAACACCAAAATAAATAATATGGCAAATTCAATGGTATATGACAAGACTGAGAAGCATGGATGCATGTAAAGAAAGCCATGGAAAGAAAGCCATGGAAAGACTTTTAAGCAAAGGAGAAATATAGGCTTAGATCATTCTGGTGGCAGTGAAGAATGTGAACCAGTAAGGCAAAAATGGGACAAGAGATACCATTGGAAGGTTGCAGCCAGGTGTGAGAAGGACAGAACTAGGATTCTAATTATTTAGGAGGGAAAATCAACAAGACTTTATGATCAGAGATATGAGACAAAAGAAGAAAAAAGTTGTGATGGTCTTACAGTTTGACTTGATTAACTAGATAATGAATGATAGTGTGAAACAATGGGAAGACAGGAGGAGAAGATCCCACAAAGGAGTCCAGGAAGGACCAGTCGATAAAGGAGACTCAGGGGAGAGTAGTCTTGGCTAACAGAGAGTATTTCAAAAACAAAGTGGTCAATTGTGCAATAGAGACATCCAGCAAAATAAAGGTTGACAAATCAGTGAGCTTGCTCAAGATAGTTTCCGTGGAATGAAGGCTGAAGCATCACTATCATACAAATAAACTCGTGATTGCTAACATTCTCTACCAACCACAGAAAGCCCTAAACTCACAATACCTCAGGGTCCTCATGTTTAAACAACTCTTTCAGGCCCTCTTTCAGTTCTTGTTGAAGCAGACCAGATTCTTGGGTCTCAACCAAAGAGATTCCTGTTTTCAGATGAAACACCAATGAAACAGAGAGAATTAATGTCCCAAGTTGGGAGAAATAAATGGGAATAAAGGTCCCAAATTTGTCAGAAGAGCTCCCAAATGGTTTCCTGAACTACAGGACTCTTGGACTGGTCACAGGCAAATTTAGATAGTTGTGCCAGGGGCTGTTGCCTTTTCAGTACAACGGCTGGGTCAAATGACCATAATTACAGAGAGAGCTCTTACACTACTAATCTCAGCTACCTTTTCCCACAAAACACTCATGCTACTTCCGAAGAAAGGACAGCCTCCCCTTGCTATCAGAGCTAATCAGGAGCATAAACACTACATCTGAACCTCACCAAAGCAACCGCCTTTTTATGTCTCTGAGGTTCTCTATATGTATTAAAAGTAAGTGGTTACTTGAGAGAAGAACCCATTGAGTGTCCTTACTAAGCCTAGACACCAGGTCAAATATATTCATTCAAGAAAACAGGCAGTTTAACTGATGCCACGGCAACATTGACAGCCTGTGATATCAGAGCAGAAAGCAAAAAACAAAGGGACTTGTGAAAGTTACCTTTCTGTGGTTCTCTCTTGAAAATTGACCCATGCAGCTTATTTGAAAGTGCTCAAAGGACTTATTTTGGTCCTATTTCAGAGCATTTGAAACTTCTCTTTGTACTTTTCTCTAACATGTTCCTGGAGATTAGCCCAGCCACATGCTGAAAATCTGCTGAGTGCCACGATCTTATTAATATGCAGTGAGATTCTATCTCAGACTGCTGGTGATGTTGGGCAACCAATCACCTACAGGGTAAAGATATAAATTGTAAAACTAAAATGCTTTTAAAAGCATTTTTAAAAAATGAAAGAGAAGACCAAATAAACTGAAGCTTCACCATCACTTTAGGTTAAGAGTTTACAGAGGAAGTGTTAGAAGGAATAGCTTTTAAGGGAGAATGGCTATTCCAGGTTGGAGTGGAAAAATACCAGGAGCTATGACAGGAAAGGAGGTATACAAAGCATGAGTAAGAGAGGCTGCTACAAATATGTCCCTCCTGATCATTCAGCAGCCTCAGATGAATATTATGTCTCCTTTGTAAAGAGGCTGAAACTGATTCTCATGAGGCAGAATCCAGCAGTGAGCAGGCAATTCAAGCAATACCAGGCCCAGTTCATTGGATGGTTTATCCAGTATTTAAAAATAGTGATTATCAGAGATTGTTGTCTTCTGTGTAAAATAATGCTTTTTAAAAGGCAGAATGTGTATGGCTGATTTAAAGGGACAGTATCCTCATTTAAAAGTGGGAATAAAAACCTCCCTGTAGGTAACTAGTGATGCATTAAGACTAAATCTTATCTTTCATTTTTGTAGGTGAAATTGGAGAGTAATTAAAATGGCTAAGAAAGAGACTTTATTGAAGAAAGAACTGCACTTATTTAACAAGAAGAATTTTGAGCATTAAACTGAAGACACCATATCCATGTGTAGTCAGAGCATATAAAAGACACTGTACTCAAGGTGATTTCAGTGACTTCATTATTCCTGTTTTGGAAGATTATTCACCTCTAGGATAGACTCAATGATCAGGAGAGGAGGTTTTAAAGCAAGAATGAAAAAGAGATTTGTAGCTCCTCTAGAATCTGTTATTACTATCCCCAGGATTCAGAGCTCCCTGCTGTCACACCTTCTGCACTTATAGAAAAGGTATGTGAATGATCCTAACATGAATAGAGGAGATAACCTTGAACATGAACTCAAAACACCAGGGTTAGATATAAGAAAGAAACTTTCTACCATAAAAGTAATGGAATTTGGTGCCCTGTTATTAAAAGAAGAGTTCTCCATCACTATATAAATTACATTTATCTCTGTGTCAGATTTACTTCTGGTTCTGTAAGTTTATAGTACTATCCTAATTACAGGTTACAACTTTATTCTGATTACCTGGGGTGTTTGTGAAAATGCACTTGTCTAGGTCTTACCTCTGTGCCAATAAACCAGATTCTTCACATAGAATCCGGTTTATTGGATTCTATGTGAAGAAGCCTAGGAATCTGTATTTTTAACATGTAACTCGAGTGATTTTCATAATCAGGAAAGTTTGAAAAACTAATTTAAGGTTCTGCTTATAGTAATATAAAGCTATTAATCCTAGGGAAGAAATGAACGATTTGAAGAGAGGAAACTGGCTAGACTGATGAGTCATAAGTACTTCATGACTGAGTTAGGAAAGCTAGAATTTTAGGGGGAAAGGTTGACTTGAGTAGTTAAGAGTTGGAGCTAGCATTCTTAGTACCACTTTGCAATCATTAGCAGCTTGTTCCAGTCCCTGCCTCACTCCACCTCTTTGCCTTCCACATACTCTTTATTGCAACAAGACTTTGCCTGAAGACGGATAGCTGTTAGGCTGCAGATGGAATCCAAGGGAAGATGAGAGATACTTCTCAAGACATATGCAGCTGACAATGTGAGGTTCCTGGATATGAGAGAAAACTCTGAACTGGTCTGTTACCACCCTGCACAGACATCTCAGATCCAGCCACTTACCCAAATTGGAGAGCCTTTTCATTAAGCCAGCTTCTCTTATAGCAGCAGGACCATATTCCACTCCTTTTCTTTTCTGTCACATAAATTACAGTGATATGTGAGGGAAGATGATTGAAAATAAGATCACTATAGTTCACCAAAATAAAAAAAAAATCTGCTGTATTATACAGTAGTCCCCCTTTTCTGCAAGGGATACATCCAAGACCCCCGGTGGATACCTGAAATCACAGATAGTACAGGACTCTATACGTACCTATGACAAAGTTTAATTTATAAATTAGACGCAGTAAGAGATTAACAATAACTAATAATAGAACAATTATAACAATAAAATAAAAGTGTTAATTGAATGAACGCACTTCGATATCTCAACAGTCGACCTGATAACCAAGCCTGCTAAGTGACTAAGGGGTGGGTAGTGCATAGAGTGGATACACTGGACAAAGGGATGATTTCCCTTTCTGCCAGGATGGAGGACTGCTCGAGATTTCATCACATTACTCAGAATACCATTTAAAATTTAAAATTTTATGAATTGTTTATTTCTGGAATTTTCCATTCAATATTTTCAGATCACAGTCGACTGTGAGTAACTGAAATCTCCTAAAGCAAAACCCAGGACTACGACTTAGTTCCCAGGAGACAGATTCCCTCTGAAAACCTGTGACATTATCATTTTCACCTGAGGTCTGGTTATTTCAAACACTTGCAGGGAAGGAGGGAAAAACAACAATCACTGAAATCATATCAACCTTCCAAGCCCCTTGTGGGAAGGGCAAAAGGAGGCCAAGACAGGCTGGGTCAGGTGAGAATCTATCTGGTGGTTGGATGTGTGTAGCTGGCCGGGACCAGATCCCATGCTTCTCTACCAGCGAGCTCTTCACGATTGCAGGTTTCTTTCAAAGAAGAAAGAACAAAACAGCTCCTCCCCGTTCTCCCGCCGCTAGAGCGGCTGGCGCCAATTTCCTTCCCAGTTAAAGCTCTGAGAAAGGATCCCGATTCCTTAGGGGTTTCTCTTTAACCTCCTCTCCCTCTATTTTCCACCGAGGATTGATGCTGGTTTCTCCTCCTTCAGCCTCTCCACGGAATCTTCTTTTTCCTTCCCTCTCCTCCATCACCCCAAGTGGGACCCACCTTTTCTCCTCCTGGGGAGGCCGCAGAAACCCGCACACAGGGTGCCCTCCATCCGCTCCCTCCTTCTCCATCTTCTAGCGGAGAAAATGCCACGTGCTCTCCCGGTGCCCAATCTTGGGAATCCACCAACCAACTCGTCCGTTTCTCCGTTTCTCCCCATCCTCTCTTCGCCCCTTTGTCCCTCCCACCTCACCTCCGCTTTCTCTAGGTTCTGGGGGCGGGGATGCTACCCGACAGTGCCAGGTGCTAGTTCTCACCTGTCCCTGTGAGAATGGGGCTCCTATCACAGCCACGGAGTGGACGGACTTTTTCAGGGCGAAATGCACTTGAGTCCGGAGGAAACGCGAGAGGCTGCTTCTTAGGGACATGATGGGCAGCGCGGGACGTCACCACACAAGAGGCTGCTACGTGAGGCTCGCCGCCTTCAGTAAGCGCCGCCGCCGGCAGC